TGTGTGTGTGTGTGTGTGTGTGTGTGTGTGTGTGTGTGTGTGTGTGTGTGTACATGTTATAGAAAAATGGTCATAAGATCTGAACAACAAAAGTATGTTTACTGCTTAGCAAACATGCCCGTTGGACAGGTTCTGCTAATATAATGAGAATGTATTTGTACATTCGGGTAGCTAAGACTTAACAAGTCCAAAAATTCCTTACTTCAAAAGTTCAGCTATTTAAAGTGTTTGGTTCACAGTTAAAGGAGATTCTGTTTTAAACAATACATGCTATACTTTTTAAACGTTGTATTAGCACAGGCAAACAATTCACCTTAAAAAAACAGAATGAGTCATAAGGAGTCAGACATGCCATTAATCAGCTCTTAATTATCTTTCATAAAAGAGGGAAGGAAAAAAATAGAGATAACTCTGTATATAATCCAAAAGGTTTCCTGTGACTTGGAATGAAGCCAGAAAAAAAAATCTCATTTTGTTTCACACACTGGCACCTGGTGTGGAGATCAACAGTTGCTCAAAGGAATTTGAAATAATTATAGTGTGCTAATAGATAATTAATTGGGAACTGATTCTGCAAGGCAGAGTAAAACATTTGTTTCATAATGTGCAGTTCAAGAGATCACTTATATTTTTTTCCCCCCATCAGGTATAATGGGTCTCTCCCAAATGGCGATAGAGGAAGGAGGAAAAGTAGGTTTGCTTTGTTTAAAAGACCTAAGGCAAATGGGGTGAAGCCCAGCACTGTGCATATTGCTTGTACTCCTCAGGCTGCAAAGGTAAAAAATAAAATTTTTTTTTAAAAAGCTACATAAATTAACTTGGAGAAATCGAAAGACTTTATGTGTTGTTTATATTCTTTAGCATTCCCCTCACATTTCTATTTCAGAAATTTCCTTTTGTTTGGATTGGAGAAGAGACTTTGGAGACACGGTATTTGAAGAGCTGCCATATGGAAGGGGAATTGGACTTTTTTTTTTTTTTTAATAACAAACCAGGATCAGTGGGTGGAAATTAGAAGGAACATTCTCTTTCCTTATTAAAAGAGGTGGGGTGGGGGACAGGGCTTTATCTAGTACTTAGAATTATGCAGCTGTCTGCCCTTGGAAGTGGAAAGTTCCCACTCTATTACTGGAGGGGCCTCCCTGGGAGGAATGTGATGTATAATACGTGTATTCAGGTATTAGAAGCATGTGTGGATGAGGTAATTTTTAAACTAAGGGTCTTTACCTAAGACTCTGTGTATGGTTTTTATTCATTTTTGGTTTATAACTTCTTATCTTTTAGCATAATGCCTTGCACAAAGTAGACCTTAATAATTATTAAATGGAATCAAAGCTATGAAAGCAATATACAAGTGCATCTACAATATAACTTCTCAACCCCCTAGCCTATTTCATGCTTCTAGCCCCTTTTTCTTCTTCTAACAAAATTTCCAGGAGCTGGACCACCATTTCAGGATACTTGGGCTTTTCCTAGAGTGACAGACAAGGAGGGGGAATTTTACATCTTTGTATTTTCTGTGAATTCTTCTGCTTCCAATTTTATAACACAGAATGAATTTGATACTGTAATGAGCAAATAAGAAAAATTACAAAGAGTTCTTTGACTCCTGGAACTACCTGTGTCTTTAGCTATGTAGCCCGAGGATGTACATTAGTATTATACCATCTGAAGCATATCTTTATAAGTTAAATAAATGAGAGACAGAAAAATTGGCATATGATCTGGTTTTAGGTTGCAGCTTCAGTGTCTGAAGATAATTGACTTTTCAGCTTTGTTTTATACCCAGTTTGATTTGTGAAAGAATCCTTAGGCCTTGACTAGGATTCCTCTGTTACTATTTGGGAGCCAGTTAGTGCAGAAAAGGGACAGTTTCTTTTGGGGTATTTCTTTTTGCTCCTTTGATGAGAAGGAATGTGCTAAGCAGGTGGCAGAAGTAAACCTCAGATTGATCCAGCCTGAGGCGCTTCTTACAATATCTCCCCCAGGAGTGCCCTTGACATTTTGGGTGTGCCAGTTTTTTATTATTCAGGACTTTCCCACATACTACAGGACATTTATGGGTCCTTCACTCACAAAATGCCATGTGATCCTACAAATCCTCATAACAGCCAAAAAATGCACAAAATATTTTTAGATGCCCCTTAAACAGCTAATACTACCTCTGGTTGAAAGTCACTATCAGGGAAAATATTTCTAATCCCTACCTCTAAAATATCACATTCTGTACTTTTCTTCCTATTGTTACTCTGCCATGCCCTCATGTTTTCATTGTTATCTCTTTTTCATCTTTCATCTTTACTAGGCAATAAGAACCTTAGGGATCACAGACTGACTCTTAGCCGGGCATGGTGGCTCACACCTGTAATCCCAGCACTTGGGAGGCCAAGGTGGGCGGATCACTTGAGCTCAGGAGTTCAAGACAAGCCTGGGCAACATGGTGAAACTCTATGTTGACCAAACGTACAACAAATTATCCAAGCGTGGTGGCATGCCCTGAGGTCCCAGCTACTTGGCAGGCTGAAGTGGGAGGACCTCTTGAGCCCAGGAGGCAGAGGCTGCAGTGAGCTGAGATCATGCCACTGCACTGCAGTCTAAATGAGTGTGACCGTCTCATTTAAAAAAAAAAAAAAATGACTGTTTCCTCTTTAAATTTTGGAGGAATGTATTAGTGAGGTCATGATGAAAATTAAGCATTTAGTCTGGCAGTCATCTGGGGTGAGTGGTTAAAACCCTGCGTTCTAGTCCAGCGAGACTCAAACTTGACATAGTTTTTATTCTCGGTCTAAGAGTAGGTTTAATAGCTAAAAAATACACCCAAAGATTACAATCTCAAAGCACACAAAAACCAATATTTTAAAATCTCGTTAGCCACTAAGAATTACTTTTCAAATACTGAGTAATTATTTCATTGAAAAGTCAGCTGTTTAGCTGAGCACTGTGACATATGCCTGTTACTCCCAGTTACTTGGGTGGCAGAGACAGGAAGATTACTTGAGCACAGGAGTTTGAAGCTGTAGTATGCTGTTTTCCTGCCTGTAAATAGCCACTGCACTTCAGCCCCTGCAATATAGTGAGACCTGTTCTCTTAAAAATATGTATGTGTGTATATATACATACACACATATATATATAGGTTTAAAACCTGTAAAACAATTATATAGTATTTATGAATACCTAAATGTGTAGAAATAAATATGTAAAAGATGCATGTAAATGATCTACACTGCATTTTTTTTTTTTTTTTTTTTTTTTTTGAGACAGAGTTTCACTCTTGTTACCCAGGCTGGAGTGCAATGGCGCGATCTCGGCTCACCGCAACCTCCGCCTCCTGGGTTCAGGCAATTCTCCTGCCTCAGCCTCCTGAGTAGCTGGGATTACAGGCACGCGCCACCATGCCCAGCTCATTTTTTGTAGTTTTAGTAGAGACGGGGTTTCACCATGTTGACCAGGATGGTCTCGATCTCCTGACCTCGTGATCCACCCACCTCGGCCTCCCAAAGTGCTGGGATTACAGGCTTGAGCCACCGCGCCCGGCCTTCTACACTGCATTCTTGAGGTTGGATACCTGTGTGGAGAAAAGGGAATTGAGAGAGACATGTAGGCAGCCTCAATTGTATCTGTAGTTTAATTCCCTAAAAAAAAAAAATCAGAAGCAAAAGTGGCAGTATTAAGCTTTGATAAAGCTGAGTCACTAGTATAGTCTCTTGGTATATTTGGAAATTTGGTATTTCTATATTCTCTTGTATATTGGGAAATTTGACAATCTTAATCTTAAAGTTGTTGTTTTTAGGCTTTATCTATTACAGATTAGCTGCAAATTGAAACCAAGTAAAAACTTATGATGCCAAACTTCTAATTAAGAAGGGTTTTTAAATTTAGCTTCTTTGCTGTATATAATTATTCCCTTCTGTCTTTGTATCTGTTTTCTTTTTACGCAGCCCATTTCTACTTCCTTTGTGTGATGACTAGATTTTTCCCCTCCTTTGATATTATCTTCAACTCAAATACATAGAAAACACTTGAAAACAAAACTGAAAAGTTCTTGTTAACAATGTTTTTAGTTCGAGATAAGTCAGAAGTACAGTCATAAGCATTACATTCCTTTCCTTTGGTAATGTTTAATCATTCTGTGAATGTTTCTTTTGTTTTAAAAAATGTTTTTTCCTTTATCTCCTGGGACCAAATCCCAAATGCATTTTTCTGTATCTCACCCGGCATATGGCAAACATTTGTCATCTGTAGAGTCACAAAATGGTTAGAAAAACCAGTTAACTTGGCTTATTAGTGAACTTTATAGATCTCTAAATGACTTCAAAAATCAGACTCATCCTATTTTGTAAGATTTTGTACTTCTTATCAGAGCAGTACTATCGTTTTCTGTTTTTATGTGGGATTTCGTTTTGATTATTTTATAATTTAAAATACTTAATAAGGTAGTCTAGTGTTTGATGAAAGAAAATTATGGGCCAAGTATAGTGGCTCACACCTGTAATCCTAGCACTTTGGGAGGCCAAGGTGGCCGGATTTTCTGAGCTCAGGAGTTTAAGGCCAGGCTGGGCAACATGGTGAAACCCTGTCTCTACTAAAAATACAAAACAAATTAGCCAGGCATGATGGCGTGTGCCTGTAGTCCCAGCTACTTAGGAGGCTGAGGCAGGAGAATCATTTGAACCCAGGAGGCAGAGCCTGCAGTGAGCCAAGATCGTGCCACTTGTACTCGAGCCTGGGCAACAGAGCGAGACTCCATCTCTAAAAAATAAAATAATGTTTTTACTGTTTAACTGCTTCTAAATATTCTTCAGTACCACATTCAACCCAAGAAACTACTGTCACAGCTGACAGGAGTTATTAACTGCTCCTCTAAATATCAGGCGGAAAATATATAAATATGTCATGTTTTCAGGGGGAAAATATATAAATATGTCATGTAAATAGTTGTCCCTTTTTTTAATGAAAAGATTTTCAGATTGGATTGACCTGCCTACTAATTTTTGCTATTAACTTTTTCGTTCTTAGGCAATAAGCAACAAGGACCAGCATAGCATATCATATACTTTATCTCGGGCCCAGACTGTGGTGGTTGAATATACTCATGACAGCAACACTGATATGTTTCAGGTATTATAACATCTAAAATTTTTTTCTTAAAAAACAAAAAGTTAAAAATCTAGTCTTGGTAACTTTTGCCGAGGTCAGATAAAGGATTATCATATTTTTATATTGTATTTTATTAAAATATAGATTGATTGCTAAACCTCATAAGTAGAAGTCAATCAAGTGCGGTTGAGATGGGCTCTGGAATCAGAATTACTGGAAAATATTATACAGCTGTTATATGCCTTAGTTTTCTCCTCTATAAAGTGCAGATAATAGACTCTCCCTCGTGACTATTAGGAGGCTTAAATGATCTAGTACATGTAGAGTACTCAGAGCTGCACCAGGCACTTAGTAAAAACACTTAGTGAATAGTAGCTATGATCCAAAAAAGAAAACAATAAATATTCTGTACATATTTATGACTTTTTATACCACCACTTCCCACCTTCCTCTCTAGGCAATAAACAGTTTAGGCAGTTGCTAACTATTTGTACTATATATGTGAAGTCAAACTTTTTTCCTCAGCACATATTTGCTCAATGCTACTCATGCAATAAAAGTATTTTTTGGCTGGATACAGTGGCTCATGCCTGTAATCCCAACACTTTGAGAAGCCGGAGGAGGGGGATCATGGGGATCATGGGGTCAGGAGGTCAAGACCATCCTGGCCAAGATGGTGAAACCCTGTCTCTATTAAAATTACAAAAATCAGCCAGGCATGGTGGAGGGCGCCTGTAATCCCAACTACTCAGGAGGCTGAGGCAGGAGAATCATTTGAACCCAGGAGGCAGAGGTTGTAGTGAGCCAAGCCAAGATCACACCACTGCACTTTAGCCTGGGAGACAGAGCAAGACTCTGTCTCAAAAAAAAAAAAATATTTTTCTCTCACTTTTTGTACCAATCCAGTGCTGACATTTTTATAAGCTGATAGATTCTAGGAGAGTCCATTCCAAAGATGTAAATAGAATTCTTGATCTTCTTCCTTAATATTGAGCTCTCTGAAGCCTTGGGCTTTCTAAAAACAAACCTAAGTAGAACATAAATTGCCTGATAATGTTGGTCTTATAATTATTGTCCCTTTGACTTTTTTTTATTTTACAAGGCAAATAAAAGTGAAAAGGCCTGGAAATATATTTAATTTCAGTCAATAGCGAAATATTTCTTTGAAGTCACTCCCTCTGCCCAACCCTTTTAATGAGATGAGATACTGAATTTCTTTTCTCTAGTTAATATTAGAATGTGGGCTTTTGTTTTCCTCACTTTTACCAAAAATAACATCTTTAATGAAGATTAACTTTTAGATCCAACAAAAACCTAACACAAAGCTTTAGGATGGTTTTCACATTTTGTTTCACTGACAAACAGTGAAAGTGAATAAGCTTAGCTTTTTTTAAAATCAAAATGCTCCTAGCCCTGTAGTCTCAGTTACTCAGGGAGCTCAGGTTGGGGGATAGCTTGAGTCCAGCCTGGGCAACATAGTGAGACCTTGTGTCTTTATTAATTGACTGATACATAGATAGATGTTCCCAAGATACTTGGTCACAGGCTAGAATTTCAGCTTCAGAAAGTACCTTATATTTATTTGTTTACCCCTTTTATAGATTAAGTTAACTGAAATTTTATGAGTTAAAGATAATAGAGTTACTTGGGAGCAAAACTGAAATTAAACCAGGCATCCTGAATTCAGAAACAATGTCCTCACGTCTAATGAAAGCTCTTAAATAAGTTTTAACATTTCAAGTTTTGTCTTTTTCATAAAGTTAAGAATTTTTCCCAGTATCATAAACTGTTATGCCCTTTCTACAGGTATTATAGCTTTGGAAAATCCAAACATTTCTGCATCAAAAAGACTGTGATGTATCAGAAACTACCTTGATAAACTAGCCAGTCTTTGAGGAATTGTATTAGAAACATTCTAGGATTGTCTGCCCTGTAACTGAACAAGAACATTTATTGTTCAAGTCATCAGATATTCCAACTCCAACTCTGTGCATCATTTGGCACTATAAAGTACATAAGGGAGACATTATAAGCTGATTACATGCCTAGGTGCTATACTGACCCTCTAAATTTTAAGCACATTGATTGGGTTGAAGAAGGATGGAGAAAAGACTTTACACTGGGGCCTTTTTATATAGATCTTTTTATCAGGTTAAGTAGGATTTTTGCCAGCAACCAGTAGAAAAACATTCTGGCAAAAGAAATGGCAAAGAAGTACACAGTGTGGTAAAAGATTGATGACAAGCTACCTGTACCTAGTAGACACAAATAGCAGGAAACTCAGCTGGATTGATAGATAGGAGGCAAATCTTGAGTCAGTTTCTATTATCAGAAATAATAAACTACAAATTTTGGATAAGCTTTAAGGAACCATTGAGTTTTCTTTTGGGGGTGCTAATTATTAACATTAATCATATTTTGGCATCTGATCACATTCATATTGGTTTTTTTCCTTATACTTTTTTCCTTCTCATTGTCATTACAAATATTGCTTCCGTGTCTTAAATATTCTCTCCCAAGACCCAGTTGAAATGTCAGCCCTCTTGAACTGTCTCTTTCCAAATAAGTACTACTTCTGTTGATTCTGAATATTAATTCAATCCTTGGCCTACATCTTTTAGCTTTTAAAGAGCCTTTTTATTTTGGGAAATATTTTTAATTTGAAAGGTCTGAGACCATTTTATTTGGGTATTATCTTAAATTTACGATATTTTTATTTTTAAGAATAAAGAAAAGGGATATCCAATCTTTTTTTTTTTTTTTTTTTTTGAGACAGTCTTACTCCGTCACCCAGGCTGGAGTGCAGTGGTGTGATCGCAGCTCACTGCAACCTCTACCTCCTGTGTTCAAGTAATTCTCCTGTCTCAGCCTCCCAAGTAGCTGGGACTACAGGCACCTGCCACCACACCCAACTAAATTTTGTATTTTCAGTAGAGATGGGGTTTTACCTTGTTGGTCAGGCTGGTCTCAAACTCCTAACCTCAGGTGATCCACCCACCTTGGCCTCCCAAAGTCCTGGGATTACAGGCATGAGCCACTGTTCCCAGCCAATATCCAATCTTACATTTGTTAAATAGCTTCCCTCTAAAACTATCCAATTGAAATATAAGAACTTTATACTTGATGATTGGACAAAAACACTAAAGAAGTTTATCTAGAAGTGTGCTGATATGAGGAACTTGAGGCTAAAATATGTAAAGAATGACTTTTAAGAGTCTTTATCTTTGTAGAGGGTCAATATTTTTTCTCAGTACCCACATTCTTCAATTTTACAATACTACTTTATAACAAATACATTCACGAACTGATAATTTCCATATGTTTGCTTTAAAGCCCTGTGACACTTGTCACTTTTGTCATCTACCCACTGACTTCCTTTTATCAACTTTCAAAATGTAATTAATGTATTTACTAGCTAGTACCTCTGAAGATGTTTTGAAATCTCTGACATCTCACCCATCCAGAACTCTTATCTGGGAGCCTTGTCTCTCTGAAATATGCCCAAGAACCAGGAAGAGTATATATATATATATAAAATAAATGCCACAAAGTTGATGCAGTTAATTGCTTTCCCGTGCTCCCTAGAGAATCCCTTAGGCTCTCACTAGAACCTTTTGAAATTGTCTTCTCTGAAGTTGGTTATTTGATTTCTCAATCCATAGCAGAATAAGAGTACCCAGTTAAAGGAGGAGCTTGTTGATGGAAACAAGCATGACCAAAAACAAAGAGTGATAGCTGACAACCTGACAGAAAAGAAACAAGAAAATCTATGAAGTATACATAAGACCTCAAAGCAAGGCTATGCTAGCCCTTGACATAAGGATCAGCAGTCTTGTACACCTCTTATAGCACCTGAAGACATCGCTGCATATCAGCTTAATATAAATGGTATTTATAGTGTAATGTTCTGCAGTCATCCTAAAAGATTTACTTATATATGTTCACTATATTCTGTTAAATAAGGTAGAATAAATAGAAATTCTATTTGACCCAGAAATCCCATTACTGGGTATATATCCAAAGGATTATAAATCGTTCTATTATAAAGACACATGCAGACATATGTTCATTGCAGCACTGTTTACAATAGCAAAGACCTGGAACCAACTCACATGCCCATCAGTGATAGACTGGACTAGGAAAATGTGGCACATATACACCATGGAATACTATGCAGCCATAAAACAGGATGAGTTAGTGTCCTTTGTAGGGACATGGATGAATCTGGAAACCATCATTCTCAGCAAACTGACACAAGAACAGAAAAGTAAACACTGCATGTTCTCACTCATAGGCAGGTGTTGAACAATGAGAACACATGGACACAGGGAAGGGAGCATCACACAGTGGGGGGTAAGCAGTTTGGGGAGGGATAACATGGCAAGAAATGCCAGATATAGGTGATGGGGGGATGGAGGCAGCAAACCACATTGCCATATATGTACCTATGCAACAATCCTGCATGATCCGCACATGTACCCCAGAACCTAAAATGCAATAATACATATATATATAAAGAATACCTCTTTAAATATCTCTAAAGAGAAAAAACCTACATGGTACACACATTTCCATCAAAAAGGGTTAAGATTAAAATCTGCAACCATCTAGAAATCTCAGCCATTGCTAAATTCTTCATTCCCTGAGAGGTTCATATATTGTTGTAAGTTCCCCTTTAATTCCGTGCTCTAAGTGATTACCTTCATCAGAGACAGTCTGACTGATTAGTTTTCAAGAGTGTAGATGCCCCCAACGTTAAGTATGGTAAATTTCAACTTTAGGAATTTCAGAGGTTTAATGTTTACTTATACTGCCTTCTTGAATGGATTTTCCACTGTGTTCTTTGAATGGGTTTATAGATGTTTCTTTTTCCCTCAGATTGGCCGGTCAACTGAAAGCCCCATTGATTTTGTAGTAACTGACACAGTTCCTGGAAGTCAAAGTAATTCTGATACACAGTCAGTACAAAGCACTATATCAAGATTTGCCTGTAGAATAATATGTGAACGGAATCCTCCCTTTACAGCACGGATTTATGCTGCAGGATTTGACTCATCAAAAAACATCTTTCTTGGGGTAAAAAGCTTTTTTTCTGAATGATGCTTTCTTTTATACTAGCTTTCATTCCAAATTACAAGTAATTGGAAGCTTACTACTATTATTTCTACTAGGAAAAGGCTGCCAAATGGAAAACATCAGATGGGCAGATGGATGGCTTGACCACTAATGGCGTTCTTGTAATGCATCCACGCAATGGGTTCACAGAAGACTCCAAGCCTGGAATATGGAGAGAAATATCAGTGTGTGGAAATGTATTTAGCCTGCGTGAAACCAGATCAGCTCAGCAAAGAGGAAAAATGGTAAATACTGAATTCTTAATTAGCTACAATAACACATAGGATGAGTTGAACTGAATGCATTACATCCATTCATAAAAAACTCTTAAATCTATTGCCAACACAGAATATTAAGTCCATCAAACACTGACTACCAAATTCTATACTAGAGGACAGTATCTTAATATTTCATTTAGTAAACTCTAAAAGTGTATTCTTCTGTCATATCATGTTAATATATTTTAAAACCTAAGCTTTTTTAAACAGCACTCTCTGATCTTTTTTCTGTTGCCAGCTGTATATATTTGACCATATTTACCTTATTTAAAATATTAGACTTATTGATTAGCCAGATATTTTAATCATAGGTTGTCTTTATGAGGCTAAAAAGAAATATGTCAATGTTTGATATTTTATCCTTGATTTTCAAACTTGTCTTTTTCATAACTACTGTCAGTTTCTTGAATATTTAGTGAAAATCCTAGGAAATCTCATGTCTTAAGTAAGAAGTACTTAAAACCAAAACTCTTACGCAAAAATCCAAAACAGAGTGGTGAATATGTTTTTCAACTCTTGTCTTCTCTAGGTGGAAATTGAAACCAATCAGTTACAAGATGGCTCATTAATCGACCTCTGTGGTGCAACATTACTATGGCGTACTGCAGAAGGCCTTTCCCACACTCCTACAGTGAAGCATTTAGAAGCTTTAAGACAGGAAATCAATGCAGCACGACCTCAGTGCCCTGTAGGGTTCAACACACTAGCATTTCCTAGTATGAAGAGGAAAGATGTTGTAGATGAAAAACAACCATGGGTGTATCTAAACTGCGGCCATGTACATGGCTATCATAACTGGGGAAACAAAGAAGAACGTGACGGAAAAGATCGTGAATGTCCTATGTGTAGGTCTGTCGGTCCCTATGTTCCTCTGTGGCTTGGATGTGAAGCTGGATTTTATGTGGACGCCGGCCCTCCAACCCATGCGTTTAGCCCATGTGGGCATGTGTGTTCAGAAAAGACAACTGCCTATTGGTCCCAGATCCCTCTTCCTCATGGTACTCATACTTTTCATGCAGCCTGTCCCTTTTGTGCACATCAGTTGGCTGGTGAACAAGGCTACATCAGACTTATTTTTCAAGGACCTCTAGACTAACAGACCATTGTCCTCCAAGACTACATTATAAATTTATAAGCTAAGTGAGTTGGGTTTTCAAACTTGCCCACATCACAGTTTTTCTGCTCTGGTCATTTGCATTAAGATGAAGAATTTTTTTAAACATTTATAATAAATAGTAGGAATTTCTGAGCAAAAATCTGGGAAACTCAAGCAAAGGAATTTCTGAAAGCACCAGTCTTCTGAATTCTGAGTTTTGAAAATATATTTTGAGGAGAAAAAGACATAGTCTAATTCGATGCCTTCCTTTTAGTGTTTTTGAATCACCCATCCTCAGTGCTGAAATTGTTTTGTATAACTGAGGGTACTGTTGGTTCAAACTATGTTAGTTTACAGTTTGTTGCAAACATTGTAAAATACAGCAACATGTATATTAACTTTTTTCTATTTATCTTTATTATAGAAAATACCTTAGAATGTTCTTGATAGAGTAGCATGGTAATGATGGTGGCACACCATTGGTGTGAATGGTAGCTTAGTGAGCACCTAGCTTAAGGATTTGCAAAGTTAGGAAGAAGGACCAGAGAACCTCTCTCCCCACCCCAGTCTAAGTAATTTGGTAAATTAGAATAATTTGTAATTTGTAAGACCAAATTCATATTAATTACCATTGTATGAAAGGTGTTTGTTTTTAACCACATTGAAGATAATCAGGAAAGAATTTTTCCTAATGTTTCTCTCAAGCGTAGTACTATAACAAAAACTTAATGCTAAGAAACATTTTATATGCTCCTTTGAATATGCAATTTAATCTAGATTATCTATTTTTCTCCCATGATAACTAATCTGTTTGTAGTATCGGCAGCATTTGGCAAGTTTATTTTTTGGATATAAACTGTGGTTCATCTGTTCACTGTTTCTAGAAAAAAGTCCTTCCCATAAGAAAAAGTATAAATTAGCAAGAAAGGAAAGTGACATGATTTACTTTTAGAAAAAGAAATGCTTAAGTAATTATTCTGTATTTGGCTTTATTCAGGCATTAGGAAATCTAGAGATCTAAAGGGTTGAATGACAGTAGTACCCCCTTTTAGCAGACCAGCCTTAATTCTGGGTTTGAATCCTAAGGGATTGCCACAGTGAGACTCAAGTAAATGCTTGCTTGGCAGATGCAGCTGAGCACCAATGTCTGCAGTGTGGAGTGACCACTGCATGGTCTGTTTGTTCTCTAATTCCAGTATGCCCTTTGCTTCTGGAAGCAAAAACAAGTTTCCTCTCTCCCCTCCTTCCCAACCTTTTTTCAAAGGCACCACAAGTATAGACAGTTGCACTACATCAAATCTTTTTTTGACACTTGTAGAAACCAGTACACTTTTAGATTAGACAGTCTTTTTTAAATATTTTGATTTGTTTTCCTTTAGTTTGAAAAGTTGTATAATACTTAATTGACTGTAGCAAAGTTTTATATATGGTAGCATAACTTTACTTTATCCTATTACAACACTGTTCTGAATTTTCTTTTGGTTTTTTAAAAAAACAAAACTTGTCGCTTAGAAGCCATGAACTATTTTATTTTACTTCAGCTGTTGAAATTTCCTTGTTTTTAAAAATGATCATTTGGGTTCACTCAGGAAATGCATGTCAGGAAACTTGTATTATAAGTTTATTAGTTGTGATGTATCAGTAACTGCTGTTACCCCTTTTTCAAAGAAATGTAATTGATTTTAAAGTTTTCTAGATTGTCACATGCTTTGTGACTAATGCAAGGAAATCAAGTCCTGTGTTGTATTTGTTCTAGTCATTTCTATTCAGGCTATATATTGTAGCTTGATTTTTATTTGCAATTAATTTATTTAAACTAAGTAAATACTTTTCAAAATAGGTATTTGAATTTGTCTCTGTGAGTTCATTTTTGCATAATCGAGAATGAGAAATGAAATGAATTTTCAGAAATGAAAATTGTGGACAACTCTATTCCACACTTCCAAAAATACTCATTTGAAATAGATGAAGAATTTGCATTTAATGTAACACTTTGCAGTCTCCGGTTTTCTTTGTAAAGCATCTCTTATTAATAAAGGAACTTTGTTAGTGGTTGAATAATTGAGGCCTTTTCTAAGTTAAGCCTTGCTAGGGAGTTGGCACCTATAAACGACATATTAGACTATTTAAATAGTCCCCTTGTAACCATAAAAATTTCACTCCCTTCGCAAAGTTGCCTGCGTTTTCTTCTAACAGGTGAGAAAAACCTGGCTCATTTTCTATCAAATTCAAGTTTTGAAAACTCAGGCAATTTAAATTATCAGTTGGGTGTTTGCTGTTGAAGCATTTTGAATATTAGATCTGCTATTTTGCCATGCCTAATAGAACACTTTTACTTACTCACTTGCATTAAGGGATTGGCAGTATGCTGGCCAAGGAGGGGAAAAAGTTGTATTTAGGTCTCCTAAATACACTCTCAAGAAAAAATCTTTATGGCTGAACTCTTTTTATCAAAGAAATCTTTATATTTAAATGCTACTTAATTTGTTCAAGGAATTACATTTCCTTTTATGTAAAATGTTAGGGTCATGAAGCAAGACATGAAAGGCGGCCATTGAGACATGGGAGTTCTTTTACTAGGTTATCTTCTTGCAGCCTTCCTTGCTTACTTCCCTCATGTAAAAGTCTTCCAGTAAGTGTAAAGCAGGGTAGGAATAAATAATAATGTAAGTATGTAATTACTTCTAACATTTGAATGTCCCACTTCACTCTTCCCTCGGGATACCTCAAGAACCATGAGTGACGTATAACCTTCTGACCCAGACTGAGGGCACTGGTCAAAGTCCACTTATTATAATGTTATAAGATGAACATAACTCTTACCACTTTGGTCCTTCATTGCGATGGATCATCTTGTGCTACCCCCACTTTTTTTTTTTTTTAAGACAGCGTCGGGTGGGCACAGTGGCTCACACCTGTAATCCCAGCACTTTGGGAGGCCAAGATGGGTGGATCATGAGGTCAGAAGTTTAAGACCAGCCTGACCAATGTGGTAAAACCCCATCTCTATTAAAAATACAAAAATTAGCCGGGTGTGTGGCATACATCTGTAATCCTAGCTACTCAGGAGGCTGAGGCAGGAGGATGTCTTGAACCTAGGAGGCGGAGGTTGCAGTGATCAGATTGCATCACTGCACTCCAGCCTGGGCAACAGAGCGAGCCTCTATTTAAAAAAAAGAGAGGGTCTTGCACTGTTGCCGAGGCTGGAGTGCAGTGGTAGCATACAGTTCACCACAGCCTCAATCTACCAGGCTCAAGAAATTCTTCTACCTCTACGTCCTGAGTAGCTGGGACTACAGAGACATACCACTATTCCCAGCTAATTTTTTTCATTCTCAATAGACATGTCTTGCAAGGTTTCCCAGGCTGGTCTCAAACTCTACTGCACTTAAAGCAATCATCTCGCATTAGCCTCCCAAAGTGCTGGGATTACAAGTGTGAGCCACCACATCCTGCTGTGCTACTCCACTTTACAGTTAAACCTATGTTCCATTCTCTTTATTCTCTGAGCATTGATCCTGTAGCAAATCAGAACAGCAAAACTCTACGTCACTGAATTGTATTATTCTATCTCTGTCACCCCTACTTTCAGAATTACTCTTACATAAGTATTCTTTAATGTTTTGTCCTCAAATTTTATCTTTTAGACAGAGTCTTGCTCTGTCACCCAGGCTGGAATGCAGTGGTGTGATCTGGCTCAGTGCAACCTTTGCCTCCTGGCTTCAAGAAATTCTTCCTGCCTCAGCCTCCCAAGTAGCTGGGAGCACCCAAGTAACAGGTGCCTTTCGCCACACCTGGCTAATTTTTATATTTTTAGTAGAGACAGGGTTTTGCCATGTTGGCCAGGCTGGTCTCAGAATCCTGGACTCAAGTGATCCACCCACCTTGGCCTCCTAAAGTGCTGGACTTACAGGCGTGAGTCACTGTGCTCGGCCTCTACTCATTCTTAAAACAGATTTTTGTAAATCCAGTGTGCACCAAGCCCTGTCCTAAACTGGGTGATTTAGCAGGAAAAAAAAAAAAAAAGATCCCTGCCTTCATGGTGCTTGTAATCTAGTGAATACAATAGAAATGGGCAAGAAAAAGTAATAATATATATGTACAATATGATAGATAGTAAACTGTGCTGAGGGGGCAAATAAAGTTGAAAGAAGAGTTGCAAAATCATGTGCTGGGGCAGGAGGGGTAGTGTTTACAGTATCGAACAGGAAGGCCAGGGAAAGCCCCACTGGAAAGGTTGCATTTGAATGGAGTTCTAAAAGAGCTGAAAGAAGGGAGTGGCCAATTGCAGGGGCATTTAGGCAGAGAGCCCTACAAGGCCATTGCAAGGGCCCTGAAATAGAAGCATGTCTGGGATATTTCTATAATAGAAAAGAGGCATTTGATGCCAAGTGGTGTGAATCAAGGAAGAGTAGCAGGTAAGGCCAAAGAAGTAAAATGACAGAATTTAAGTGGGAGATACGGATGAAAATAGATTATGGAGGGCCCCCTGGGATTTATGGCTTTTATTCTGAATGAGATTGGAACATTGGAGGGTTTTGAGCAGGTGAGTGACTTGATGTGGCATATTTTAATAAGATCTGAATACACTCAAGGTGGGATCAGGGAGAACATTGCAGTAATCCTGAAGACAAATGGTGGTTTGGATTAGGTGGTGGCAGTGGAGGTGTTTTGAAAAGTGATCAGATTCTGAATGTGTTTTAAAGACAGACCTGACAGCATTTGCTAGCAGATCAGCTACAGGGTTTGAAAGACAGAAAAGGGATCAAGGATAACTCCACTCAATCAGCCTCAGCAACTAGAAGGATGGAATTGCCATTTGTTGAAGTAGAGATTGTAGGAAGAACTGTTTAGGGGATGAGGTGCCCTGGTGGAGAAATCAGGAACTCAGTCCTGAATATTAGACTGAGGCACCTGTTACACAAGACATTTGCCAAAGGACACATGTCTCCACTTTTAACTATCGAAGTCCTCAACCCTTATGATTTCTCTGTATACCCCACACTAGCTTAGAAACAAACAAAAAAAATATCCCTCCTGATTAATGGTGAATTTCCTTTCATTGAAATAGAGAGTTGGGACACCTCTCCTGTTTCTCTTTGCTTTGGCTTCCCTCTGAGGAAATGAAGTTTTGTTTTCAACTGTAATTGCTCACTTAGCCAAAGCATTCTAATAAAGTTTCTTCCTCCTTGCCATATACACCTTTTTCCTTGGCTCTTGCCTTTAAAAAGAAAAAAAAAAGTCTTCAGTTTTCTAAATATTTTGCCGCTTCAAATCCTTTTTGGCAGTGGCAGAGCACAAGTTGTGCTTTGTTTTTAAAGTTGTTGAAAAAATACTTGAGTGCTTATGGAAAACAGAATTCTTAAATCTGTAAGTCCAGATTTTAATGTCCAGTTTCCCTGAAGGAAATAGGCCTGTATTTGATAATTATCAACCAAAAAACAGTAATAAGATCAAATTATTGTTTTTGATTGATAATTATCAAATACAGGCCTATTAATCACCATAAAATATCACGTCCATGCATTGTGTTAGATGATGCAACAGTAACGCTGGGTTCTTTATGTTGACATTAAATTGTCAACTAAGCTATGCGTATGAATATTAAGCCACAGCATACAAATCTTCCTCGTAGCTAACGTGCATTTTTGCTATGTGTAAAGCACTATTCTAAATGCACCCTACTAGGAAGATTACTGATATTTTAAAAATCAAAACATCCCTGTGAGGAAAGAACTGTTATATCCATTTTACAATGGAAGCCACCCGAACCACCCACATAGCAATGTAACTTGCCCAAGATTCACGTGGCTTGTAACGGGGACTCAGAATTTGAGCTTTGGAAGTCTCACCCAATTTGTGTGTACATAATCGCCACATTTTGCTGCTTCCCCATTTTAATGATGGAACACATTGAAGGAATTCTTTTGGGTGTTGGTAAAGAAGTATGATTTCTGGCACATGATAGATGCTCAAAAACTATTTCTTGGATGATTGGAAAAAATAGAAATCTGGATCTTTAAGCTACTTAATACTGAGTAGAAGCATTAACAAAAAAAGAAGAATAAAGGTTACATACAAGCTATTTGTTTGATCAGAAAATATGCTTTCCTTGGCTGAAAAATAGGAAAGGAAAAGGCAAAGATACTACAAAAAGTGGCACTAATTCGAAAGTTGAGAAGGCAACAAGAAGAAAATTGATGGTGCCAGAAAAGAACAAAAGGATTACCCTAGAAAAAGGAGAAGAAATATCATTGTCCAGACATTGAAATATTTAAGAACCTATTTTGATGAGGAAGGGCACAATAGGCAGCCAATATTGAAAGGAAAAATTAAGATTTCCTGAAGTTGTATTCTGTCATATTACTGTGTAACTATTAATAATATAAACTAGAGAGGATCTTGGACATCAAGTTGCAGTTGAGTAAATGAAGGCCTAGATGAACTGATTACTGATTGGCAGATCTGGTATAAGAACTTCATTCCCCCGTGTCTATCCTCATACTTTTGATTAGCATAAACTTGAGTCACCAAGACTCAGTTATATTTCCATGTTTTGTCTGTTGAAGCAGAGGTAAGAACATTGCATTTTAAGTTTTTGTTTTTAAATTATAAGTGTCTGCAGAGTAAAACTGTCAACTCTTGTCATGTAAACAATGATTCCCAAATATAAGGAATAATCTGCTTCAGATGCCATTTAATTAAAAGGCTGCCTAGTTTGGAAATGAAAGATAAAAACAGGGAAAAAGAATCAAGAGTTGTCCAGTAGTCCTTTGGTATTCTGTGTAAATCATTATAAGTCATTCAGCTAATACATGAGTGCTCATTCGATGACAGGCT